ATCCTATCATACCTATTTTATCTCTTATTATCCCATGATCATGCTATTTTATCTCCCTTTATTGTAATTTTATATATAAAAAGTGCTTTTTTATTTTATTTTAACATCCAAACAACTTTTTTATGAAAAAGTGATTTTCAGATCTTACATCCAGACGTAAAATAACTTTATCTTTTAAAAAAAGTACTTTTAAAAAAAATAATGCATAAAAAGTTATTTTTTTTAAAAGTTCATCCAAATGGGCTCTTACTAGGAATATGGTGGAAAACTGAGTTTGGTAGAAAAATTAAAAAAAAGTTGATTGATAGGCCAAAATATTATTGGAAAAATTGGTTTTAGTTTCCTAAGTCTATGTTTGGTTAAAAGTAAAATAAATATAGGTGGAAAAATATGGTTAAATTATCACCACAACGTTTGAGTAAAATAAAATGGGAAAATATGATTTTAGTTTGTCGAATAATTTTTCTCAACATTAGGGTCATTTTGGTTTACTGGCTTGCTGTCCTTTTTGGATTTCTCCATCTATCAACAAATACTACTTTGTAGATGATCTTGCTCAACAGTGTTTTTTTACACACAAAAAACAAACACTGAGCAAATAATTTTCCTAGCAAATTTTTGTAAAACCTGGTAACAAACATGGATATATAAAAGGGAAAATATTATCTTATGCTATAGGAGAGTATTTTTCTCTCCTACACATACATCGATTTTCGTGTTGCTTTTTTTTTTTAAGTGAGTGGGTCCCACTCATAACTATCTCTATGATATAAGAGAGCTTCTCTTATGTCACATGAGATTAATAAAGCCCTATATAAAAATACCACACCACTTCTATTTATTTAGGTATCTTTAACAAAAATTTGTATCAAACATACCTCACCTCATGTAGTGTTTGGTATGCAGATTATTTACGAATGCCGTGAAAAGCATGATAAGAAAAACAAGAAACCCACGTTTAGTTGCTTAAAAAGTAAAAAGTTTCCCGTCAAAATTTTTTTCCCAAATTTCTGTATTGTGTGCAAAGTGAAGTACGGACGACCATTGTTCAAACTCCATGGTTTACTTGGAAAAATAGCTTGCTGGGGAAGTAAGAAACAAACAACGATTAGGTGGACGAGATTAACCCTCTCCTTTGTACGATTGGTGAAGTTGTGTTCGCAAATATCTGGTACCAAAACCTACCGTAGCTGCTCCCTCCGTCAAAGCTTGCAGGTTACCTTGGTTTTCGATTTTCTTGCTTATCATCGTTGTACGAGGCTTGCATGTGCACCTTGTATGGTACCAGTCGGTCGAGCATTTTTGCATGTTAACCATGTCCATATTTTAACAAGACAAGCTTTCCATTCCAGTTCATCATTTCGTTTTGGGGCTATTGTATATGTTGGTCTTAGTGGTGCATATGGTTTGTGGGTTTTTTTTGTAATGACAGGTGATTTACGCTTTCATAAACCCAAGTAGAAGTTGTCGAAGCTGTGGAACTGCGACTGTTTTTGTTATCTCCGTATTCGTGGTGCAAGCTGTGGAACATCGGGTAAAAAATCTGACTTGCTATGTCACCACATAGGTTTACTTACCTTCTGTTTTGTGTTTACCTTGTGACAGTGCAAGTGGAATTTTGACAATTTTTTTTTTCGTCCTCCTTTTGCTCATTGGAATTTTTGTTTTCAAGGTATTATTGATATTTTAGCAGTGCAATGCAGAAACAGGAAGCATTCAATTACAAAGTTGAATTAGCCAAAACAATACAATTGAATCCAATGACTTCAAAGTTAGAATGCTCTCTTATGGCAAAGCAACTTGAAACATAATGTAATGTTAATAAAAATGCATGAGAGAAATGGTTTTGTTATACCTTAAATTGATCTTCAAGCCGTACTCTTTTAATTAGATCATAGAAAAGTAGAAAACATAGCATGACAAGCAAGAACGGAGATGAGATGTTATGTGCAGATCTGTACTTGTGTGTAGGGCTGTGCATGGGTCAGGTCGGGTCAGGTTTTTGTCCGACTCGACCCAACTTGGTTTTTATAGGTCAGGTATTTTGACCCGACCCGCTTTAATTTGATCCAAGTCAGGTTTGACTTGGATTGGATTTTGTTGAACTAGTTCAAAACCAGTTTGGATCTGACCTAACTTGGTTTCTGAAGTGGTTCTGACTTGGTTTCTGAACTGGGTCAAATCTGACCTGACCCGTTTTTTACAGGGTTTTCTCACAAAATTTTGTCGAAATTTTTACGTTGCAAAAAACAAAAATTTCGTCACAAAATTATATTTTCGTCGAAATTTTTACAAAAAAAAATTTTCTATTGAAATTTAGTTTCCGTCAACAGTTTTGACGAAAATGATTTCTTCCATCAAATGTTTTAAACGAAAAAAGAATTTTGTCAAAAAATTTGACGGAATGTTTTTCGTTCAAAATTTCGATGGGAATGTGTTCTGACAAAATTTTGACGGAAATTATTTTGAGGGAAATGTTTCATTTAAAACTTTCGACGAAATTTAGATTCTCTAAAGAATTTTGACAGAATATTTTTTTCGTCAAAATGTTTTTTTTGTCAAAAAAATTTACGAAATTTTTTTATAGAAATGTGTTTCGTTGAAAATTTTGATGGAAATTTTTTATCAAAAAACTAGACGAAAATATTTTGTTGAAAATTTTCGATGTAAATGTGTTTCGCTAAAAATTTCGACGAAAATTCTTTTTTGTCAAAGAATTTTGAAATCTGTAAAGAATTTTGCCGAAATTTGAAATCTGTAAAGAATTTTGATGAATTTTTTTGCCGTCGAAATTTTTTGATGACGAAAATTTTTCGTCGAAAACTTTCGCCAAAATTTGAAATTTGTAAAGAAATTTGATGAAATTTTTTGCCGTTAAAATTTTTTGATGACGAAAATATTTTCGTCGAAAACTTTCGCCGAAATTTGAAATCTGTAAAGAATTTTGATGAAATTTTTGGCCGTCAAAATTTTTTGATGACGAAAATATTTTCGTCGAAAACTTTCGCAAAAATTTGAAATCTGTAAAGAATTTTGATGAAATTTTTTGCCGTTAAAATTTTTGCCGTCAAAATTTTTTGATGACGAAAATATTTTCGTCGAAAACTTTCGCCGAAATTTGAAATCTGTAAAGAATTTTAATGAAATTTTTTGCCGTCGAAATTTTTTGATGGAAATATGTTTCGTCGAAATTTTAAATGGAAATTGTTTTGAGAAAAATGTTTCTTTTGAAATTTTTGACGAAATTTAGATTCTCTCAAGTATTTAGACAAAATATTTTTTCTGTCAAAATTTTTTATCGAAATATTTTTGTCAAAAATTTTTACGAATTTTTTTTACAGAAATGTGTTCCGTTGAAAATTTTGATGGATATATTCTGTATCAAAAAACTTGACAAAAGTATTTAGTCGAAATTTTTTGATAGAAATGTGTTTCGCTAAAAATTTCGACGAAATTTTTTTTTGTCAAAAAGTTTAACGAAAATGTTTCCGTTGAAAACTTTCGCCGAAATTTGAAATCTGTAAAGAATTTCGATGAAAATGTGTTTCGTCGAAAGTTTTTATGAATATATTTTTTTGTGAAATATTTTGACGAAATTAGATTCCGTAAAAAAATTTGACAAAAAAAATATTCCGTCAAATTTTTTTACCGATATGTTTTTAGTCACAAATTTTGATGAAAATATTTTTCGTCAAAAATTTTTGCGAAAACTTTTATGCAAATATTTTCCATAAAAAATTTTGACGTAATTGTTTTACGTTAAAACTTTTCTTTTTATGTAATTGTGATTTTTTTTCACATAATGGGTATGAGTCAAGTTTTGGGTCAGTGGGTCAATATTAAAACGAGTCAGGTCTAAAACTGACCCAAATAAAAGTGGGTCAGTGTTTAAACCAGTTCAAAAAATATGGGTATTTATGGGTCGGGTCAAGGTCGGATCAAGGGCAGGGCAAGTGAACCAGTTTTTTTGCACACCCCTACTTGTGTGTTTGCAATATTAGGAAAGCAAAACCGATCTGCACTTGATAGGCTGACACATATGACAAGAGAGGAGGTTGCTATGGGGAACCTGGGGGGGAATACCTAGGTTGGTATTACTGTCCATCACAAACCTTGGAGGAATTTCAAACATTGTTATGTTAACTTGATTTGCTTTGTATTACTTCTTATATGTGAAGTTAAATATTGTGTACTTCATCCACGTATAAGTCACGTACCTCATAATGTATGAGAGAAACCAAATGTGAATTTTTTAAAGAATTTATTTAAATGTTTATTGTAACCTATTCCTGTAGAACTGCCCTGTTCTTTGTATGGTTATGGTTTGGGTGCAAGTTCTCGTGTTCTTTGTTGTTGTTTGGAATTATGTTGGAATGGATTGCATTGCTCCAACAAAAGTGTCATTTATTTTAATCAGATTAGGGGATTGTATTTAAACGTGTTTTTGTTTTCCTTTTACTCTCAACTGTTTATGTTCTTGCTTGTCATCCTGTAATTGTGTACATTGTTTCATGGAATCATATTTTTGTTTAATGTGTACAATCCAGACGAAACTGAGTAATGACTGGAGTTTGTGTTTCTGTTTCTATTGCTCTTCTACATATTATGTTTCTTCATTTTGTTCTGATTTTGTACGTTGTTGATATTTGGATTAATGTGAATTAATTTGACCTTGTGGTGTTAGATTGTGGCAATGAACAACGGAATGGAGTTAAGTGTCATTGTTGTTCTCATGAGTCATTTGCAGTCTTTGAATCAATTGACTATGTTATTTGTGAGAATATGTGGTTTATTATTAGCCAACATTGAAAAAAGGAAAGCTATGAGGAAGAGAGGGACGTGGGATTTTTGCAGTAGGGCTTCGATAAGGGAAGTTAATCTGCATAGAATAGTGTATATCACTGATACAACTTGTATTGAGAATACAAGGATGGATCGGAGAAGTTTTCATAAATTGTGACTTACTTAAAACTGTTGGGATGCTTGAACCATCCAAGCATATGGGTGTAGAAGAGGTGGTTGCAATCTTTCTTTACATATTGTCTCACGATGTTAAAAATCGGATAATTAAAAGACAGTTTATGAGGTCTGATCAAACTATAAGCAGACAGTTCACGAAGGTGTTGCAGGCTGTGTTAAGATGTCATACTGTTCTACTCAAACGCCTTGAGCCCGTCCCCGAAAACTCAACTGACAAGTGGAAATGGTTCAAGGTATCATACTACAATAGATCAAGCAATCTTTATAATTTTAAAATTTGTTGTGCATATTATACTGACTTGTGTTCTAATTTGGTGCTTTGGAATGACAGAATTGCCTAGGAGCTCTAGATGGGACCCACATCAAGGTAAATCCCCTACAAGCTTATAAGCCTAGATATCGGACTAGGAAGGGTGAGATAGCAACAAACATGTTGGGTGTTTGTTCGCAAGATGCCCAATTTATTTATGTTTTGCCTGGATGGGAGGGATCGGCTGCAGATTCAAAGGTCCTCAAAGATGCTATATCTCGTACGAACGGATTAAGGGTGCCAAAAGGTTATTTAACAAGAAACATAGTTCAAATTACCAAAATAATGACATGTAACCACCTGTATTACCATGTTTCTAATTCCTTTGTTAAATTTTTGGAGGTTACTATTATCTGTGCGATGCTGGTTACATGAATGAGGAAGGATTCCTTACACCTTATAAAGGGCAAAGATACCATCTTAGTGAGTGGAGACATGGGGCACAGCCAACGACACCGCAAGAATTTTTTAACATGAAACACTCAGGTGCTAGGAATGTCATTGAACGATGTTTTGAGATGTTGAAGGGCCGTTGGGCGATTGTAAGGTCAAAGTCCTTTTATCCAGTTAAAACGCATTGCAGGATAATCACTGCATGCTACTTGCTCCATAATCATATTAGAAGAGAAATGCCAATTGACCCTTTAGAGGATAATATGGGGGACATGGCAGTACCTGAAGATAATTTTCAAGGACATGAAATGATAAGTCATGTGGAGTCATCTAAAGCCTGGACACATTGGAGGGATGAAATGGCGCAGCAAATGTTTGACACATGGAGGAATAATGTTTGATGCAGTTATTTATGCTATCATTATTGATGTTGTTAAGTACTTTATGTTGTCTTTGTTGCAAATTAAAAGACTTGTGTCATTGTACGTTTTTTTCATGCAGAATGATGTAATAGACATCATATGCCATGATTTTACATGATAAGTTTTTGGAAGTCTGGCTAAGTGGATATATATAAAAGCTTTGGAGTCATGAGGACAGGCATTGCAGTATTGCAATTTTGGAGTTGGTACATGCTTATATTCTGATATGTATGGTAAGTGGTACCAACAAAAGGTGGCAACGGGTATGTTCTTTTTAATTTATGTTGGTCAATAGTCTTTTTCTCAATATCTTAGTTCTACTTACACTTGCTCAGAAAAAGACTTCATATAAGGTAGTTCCTCCGTATATATTTGTTGCTGTTTAAATTGTTGTCCAACACAGATGTGATATGTTATTGTTTTTATCTGACTGTCTTATATGGCAACAGGTATGTTGAAAGTGCAGCTGATAGAGTGATTATAAAACATTTGCTGTCAAGGCCAAGTGAAGCTGTTTTGTGGTGAGATCGGATTTTTGTGGTTGATCTGCAGCAAAGATAGAGGAGAATATGGATTGAAAGAAACAAAGCACATACATGACTGCTAGAGATACAAACTAACCGAAACAGAACCCTGCATCAGGGCCATTTGGCATATATGTATATCTGTTATATTGAATTAATGGTACAGCCATTCATTGGTCCTGTGAATGTATTTTGATAGTATTTTAAGTCTTTGTTATATGTATAACTCTTGCAATGTATGAACTATTACAATTAAGATGGTTGTGAATTATGAAATTATCCAATATTGTGTTCTGCACCTGTTTCGTTCACACATGAAATATGACTTCAGCATTGGAATAATTAAAGGCTCGGAATCAAAAGGAAATCTCTGATTGAATATAATGAACACCATAATTGCTTCATATTAATTGAATCACTGAAATATATTTAGTTGCTTGATAAGTTACACATCAGAATTGTACATGACTATGAACAAAGTGTAATCAAAGATCAAAGTACACAAGGAAATTCCTATACAGCATACTACTCTTCTTGGACACATTCAGCCCTATGTATAAACTTATCAGATCCCTACTAGTTAAATGAATGACGCAGCTATTAAGATCCTCTTCCACAAATGTGACAAAGTGGAGATGCTTCATTATCCCCCAACAGGTGTTGCCTTCAGATTCTTCTTACATTATAATTTATCAGCAAATCACTGATACAACATCTGCAAGCTTATCAGGTACAGCAACTATGTTACTTTGCAGTGTTAGTCTTCCTCTGCAGGTGGTTGCAAGACCCTTCCTCTTGCGTACCCATTGAGATGTAGAACCTATCTCTGGATTTGACTATGGTTGTTTCTCATTGGTAGCACCTGCAGAATTAAAAGGATTTGCCAGCTTAGGAAGAATGACAAAATAATGCTGTGTGAGAAGGTTATAAATAGATATTGTGGGTGACCAAAATCAGTGAGCTGAGATATAAATTTACTGACTCACACTATTAGACAGATACTATTCACAAGGTCAAAAAATTCTATTATTTTGGCTAATGACAGTGCATAACTCTCTGATACCATCTAGACTGAGTACAAATTTACAAATCTCACGGACTCACGGACAAAGAAATATCTCGCTAATCTGTGACGACAACAATTACCTAGCTTGTAGCTTTACAACAATGATTAGAGGAGCTAGCTTGAACAAGATTTTTGAAACAGGCAATTTACGGTCAAGTCACAATTAATGCCAGATAGAATCATAGATGTGAACTGCCCAGCTTTTTTTTCCTTTTTAAAAAAAATAAAAAGCAGGAAGCAGTGAAATTAAGCTCAAGAATGGACTGCAAGTTGAAAGATTTGGCCCTTACCTAAGTCAATGTCTCTAGCTGCAAGAGGTATTTCTATTTTCAAGTTGTTCTTTCTAAGAAACCACATGACCAAAAATATAAGTTGATAGCGATGTGTCTAAAGATGTATTACGAAGAGATAAATTTGATAAACTATTGATACAGTATGATCCCGAGGTGCATTAATCCATGACTAAAAATTTAAACTTTTCAATAACGATTGTAATAGTCAGAATTCTCCGATGATTTATCAGTATCAATACAGTTAGATAATAAATATAAAAAAATTTAACAACTATAATAAATATACTTGACCAATTAGAAAAGACCACAGCCAAATTTCCATGAATCTCCAAAACTTATAAATTAAGCATGACAAACTTGCACAACACTTGCATCTAACAGACATACTCATTAGCTAGAACCAAAACAGACGGTTTTGAAATTGAACCCACAAATTGTAGATGGAACCTTGGCTTAGTCACTGAAAGCAGCATTAACAAGTTTTCTGGAATAAAAAATGTTAATAAAATTACCATAAAACCTGGTCAATTCAAAGACTTCTTTCTCGACTTGGATGATGAAGGCTTGCTTTGCTCAAACTGCATTCTGCGTAGCTCCTTTGGAGGCAGTTGACTGGTTTGATTTAGGATTTGAATTGCTGGAAAAGGCAACAGCACCGTGCTTTTCTCTAACTACAGCACCCTGAGAACCTCTCACCTGAGCAGCTCTTTTGTCCTTCCTCTTAGGCCTATAAGTTGATCTCTCCCGCTTGGGAAGCCACCTCTCTGGATCTGGGGGAGGACCTGGTTTTGCAGGGTCAAACCCTTTAGGATACCTTGGCTTTCTCTTTCTCCTTTCCTTAGCTTTCTCTTTCTCCCTTTCCTTTGCTGAAAGTTTCAAATCCAGTCCACGAGCTAGCCGAAAGTTCTGCGTCTCTTTCTCTTTTAGCCGATCAAGTTTCCTTAGGCTATCAGAAGCATCTTTTGTACCTTTCAGTGAAACAAGATTGTTCACTGCCACTGCAATTGATTATTCATTAGCCATATCTCGTTTAATAATATCTGTATAAGCTTCAATAGCATCTTGCTTATGCCCAAGAAGCTGTTAATCTATGATTAATTAATATTTCTGGCACTTAAAAAAAGTAATATTCAGTTGAAGGAGAAATAAATTTTGAGAAATCAGAACTTTTACCTGCTGGACATAGGCCAATTGTACAGCTATAGGAGACAATTCAATTTCTATCTCATCATCGGGCAAGTTATCTTCCATCAGGATCTCTTGACCAATTCTGATCCAAATACATGAACAAACATGAGTATATGCCACTTCAGGGACAATATCCCATGTAACAAGTTTAGGGTTTAATAGGTTATAAATTATTGAAGTTAAGGCCACTAACTGCTAAGCAAAACAACAATAAAATCAAAGCAAAATTTAATTGAAATAATCAACTATGAAATTCAGATTGTGCTTCATTTACTGTGCCTAATAAAATAAGCCACTGAATTTGGTGCAAAACTCTAGCAGATAGCTTCATGCATTGCAGTTGCACAAGGCCCTCGAAAGGGACTCAATAAACATATTGTCAATATAGTCTTTGCATATCTAGATACTGGGGAAATCAGTTTTTGTCCAGCAATTTGGCTAAACCACCACATGCTTCTTATTTTATATTCCTTGTAATATAGAAATAGCACAGCATTCACTGTGGTCACATAATTCTAATATGGTTATTCTTGAGTTTGAAGTTCAGTTATTTGTAATCTCAATCATCTAACAACCCAAATAACACACTCAGGTTGGAAAAAGTGGTTCATAAATTAAAGTCCAATGTATAGCAGCGGAAAACTTCCAAGTTCTTATACAAGTCAAAATTAGAAAGTTAGATTAGGACTAAGGAGATTTGATAATAACTTAATAAGTTTTGAATCTTTGATCCTGAGGTATGTAGCCTACAGCTCTTTCCTGCCTTCTTTGGATGAATCTCTTGCGGTCACAATGTTCACTATACAACCTAAAAGCTCCAGCATTATTTATTAATAGTATAAATCATGTTGCTCAAACTGAAACTAAAAAATATAAAAAACAATTGACAAACATTTAAACTGATTAACCCTCCATTTTAAAGTATAACATTGAAAATTATGGACAGGAAATTGACTACAACATACGATATTTGTGGACGGTCACCGCAACGAGATTGCTAAACTGTGGATATTGTAACCCTATCAAAATGGAAGAACTTCTTCAGCTACAGCAGCGACGCCAGCTACAGCAACCGGATACTTGCCTCAATAACACGAACCGGAGATTTTCGAAGGAGATAAACCCCAACGGTTACAGCATCGACGCCAGCTACAATGAAAGGAGCTGATGAGAGCGAGAGATGGATGGATAACAATTAACAACCCTATCAGATACAAAAAAGAAAGAGATGAGGGGAAATTAACACACCCACAGGAGAACAAGTCTAAAAATCGATTTGAGAGAGAGAGACACAATTATTCAAAATCGAAGGTATCGTTATAAAATAATTTTCCTATTCCTATCAATATTTCACAATTAATCAAATATTTTTGAAAAAAATATAGGCCTACCAAACAGTTTTTTAGTAACTGTAAAAATCTATTTCCCACTATATTTTCAAAATTCATAATTCCCAGATAAAGAAAATATCTCCTCTATCAAATACCTCCCTCTATCAAATACCCCCTAAAAAATATTTCTTGAGATTTATGTTTCCATGCACAATTTTTTTAGAAAAAATATACTCTTACATTTGTAAAAGAGTATTTTCTCTCTTACACATACATCAATTTTTGTATATCTTTTTTTTTCTCCTATAATAGATGGATCTTACACATAATTATCTCTATAGCATGAGAGAGCTTCTCTCCTATTACATGAGATTAATAAAATTCATTTCTTTATATGTTTGTTGTTTTTTTAGCGAGCACAATACTAACTTCTTCTAGCAACTCAACAAAACAAAAAGTACAAATAAAATTTATTGTTAATATTTTAGAGGGTTTAAAAAATCTAAACTAGTTTGAAATCAATTTTCAAAAATAATTTTTAAATTTTCAGAAAAAAAACTCATTGGGTAAAGCCTATTTTATAAAAAAAAACTTATAAAACAGTAACTATTTTCTTATTTTTAGAATCAAATTTAGAAAAAAAAAAATAGAACATAACTATTTTCATAACTATGTCTATTATACATAACAATTTTAAAAATAAAGAAATCAGAACACAATTAGGGGTGGTAAACGAGCCAGGGGCGTCTGGCTCGACTCGTAAAGGCCTGAGCTCGTTTAATAAAAGCTCGTGTTGGAACCAGACTTGGACTTGTACAAAAGCTCGTTTAATAAATGTAACAGCCCGTTACGTACCGGTATTGTTAACATTAATTATGATATTAAGCGCAGTTACAATCACAGCAATTCATTTATAAAAATACGAATAAACTTTTTCCGATTATTACGCGAGCATTTAAAACAATAAAACGCGTAATAATTAAAAGCTGTGACAATAACTGTTAACTCTTGCGGAATATTTATTTTATCTATTTTTACATCACAATAGACTTATTATAAGTTACTAAGGGGTTCCCATAAACTCACTTAGCCAATTACCAAACTTTACGTTTTTACCTTTCGAACATGGTTCACTCATTAATTTTCTGCGAACACACCGCTCACAACCATACCTTCTTTTCAAATTATATCTTTTTCTTACTTAATTTCCTTTTCAACAAGCTATCACACGCTCAATTCGGAGCTCATTTGCTCCGGTTATCGCCGTTTGAAGTTTGATAAGCAAAACAGCCAACCAACCTCAAAACAGCACCAAAACCACTTACACTTCTCGAATTACTGAGCACAATCCACTCATCCAATTGCTCTCAAATTTTTATCCTAAAAACTAGACATCTCAAACTTCATTTTGGTGTATCACACGCTCAATTTTACTGAGAGACGAAGTGGGAATCAATTTCCCAAAAACTGGCCAGAACAGCCCCTGCATCAGAGGTCCCTGGACAGTCCGAACTCAATAAATTCCACAGGGCTGCGTACAACCCATAACTGGCTCATATTTTAACACCATATAGGAGACATCTCAAGCTTCAAAATGGCGTATGGCACGTCCCTTTCGGACATTTGTAGAGGGAGATATGCTCTCTCGAAGTTCACCTAAAATCTGCCAATTCTACAGAAAATTCGCCAGAGTTTCCTTTGTTTTTTCAATAATCCCCAAATTTGTACAAGCTCACTAATGTCTCAAAGTACCTAATAATCCAACAATAATATAGTAATAATCCAATGGGTGGCACACACAAAGACCAACAATGCCTTGGGGCACTTACAATTACACAGTTTATACTATAGAGCTCACATTATATTCCTTACTTGTTTCAATCACAAAGGTCTCATTTACATGTAGTTTCACAATATAAGCATATAACCATAACTCTAACATAGGCCTAAAATCCTTCCATCTTAGTACATCATGCATCTCTTTTACATTTACAACATATATTTAAATATTACAACTTACGACTTCAACTTCAAATTACCCTTTACAATATTACAACTTCAATTACAAATTTAAACATAAATTCAAATGATACAAACTACTAGACTTAGGCATGCCAACATGAACAATATGCCAAATACTGAAAATGTTCCTCTATCACTCGGCGGGCCTCTTGCCCGCTGCTCCAACGCCACAGGTACATCCTGAAATAAAATGCCCCGAGACGGGGTGAGATATACGAATATATCTCAGTAACCCAGAGGTTCTGGAGAAAACTCCGCTCAATGGTTCACTTCGATGCATATGAGTAGAATACAACAACCAATTTTAAAACGGGATATAGCAAGGGTTTTAGAGAAATGGGGAATATAAAGATACAAACTACGACGATACAGGATGGTAACCCCAATTCCACGTACGCCCTGGGCATATATAAGCCTATGGGTATCATCCAAGGTGCGTTAAAAAAACCACAACCATGATGCCCCAACCATCCAAAACGCCAAAGACATTCCTAGTGTGCTCCTACCCGAATCACACACCATGACCCACGGTCAACTGGAACTCCCTCCTAGAGACCTATCTAGTGGAAGTCTGAAACTGCCTGAAGGCTAATAAAACTGTCTACTGGCCAGAGACTCGGTACATAAGTACCCATTGTAATAATGCATGCATGCTCATGTGTTCTATACTACTCATACACACTTCCTACCGTTGCCATCAACTGGCAAGGTGGAACAGAAAAGGGGAACAAGCCCCAGTACCAAGAGGTTACCTTAAATATTTTTCTCACAAGCTCCGCAGCAGCTTATCCCTCAACTTGGTACACAACAGAATGCCTCAATCCACTTGGTCCAGGACCAAGGGTAACTCCCAGATTCAAGGTTCGGGATTCAAGTCAACGTACGGCAACCTATACAATCACGTACATCCATCAGTACGCGTCAAATAGCATCAAAACGCAAAATCACGAAATCACCTCACCCACACTTGGTAGGTTCGGCCATCCTAGGCTTATTTCCACTTTTATTTTTCTAAATTTTCTTTCTTATTTTATTACGCCTCAATAGGTTTCCAAGAGGCCAGTTCAAGTGTCGTTTCACCATTTTTCGCGTCGAATTACATCAGAACGCGAAAACCGCAAAATCTTCCCCACCTTCCTTGGTGGTTCGGCCTTTGTAGTGTTAATTTAGGATTTATTTTTCTAAATTTTCTTTCTCATTTTATTACGCTTCCTTAGGTTGCTTAGAGGCTAGTTCAATCGTCGTTTTTTCGTTTTACGACATTTACACATCGTTTTGCGAAATATTTCACTCTAGGTTCTTTATGCCAACTAAGCCACTTATTATTTTTGCATTGATTCTTCCACTTGCCAATCACCACACAACCCATCTAATTACCTTTTTAACACATAATTCATCACTCAAACAATTTCCAACAACATCAATTCCTTAATTTTCCTTTAAAGGCCAAGTTGTAACCTAGAGCAATTCTAGGATTTCCATTCACTTTTAATCACTCCACACCTCACACAACCACATTATATCATCATATAATCATACAACAACTCATTAATTAATTCCCAACAAAATTCCAAAACTCAAAGTCATGACATTCCTCAAAATTTCTAAGTTAAATTTTCACAATTTTCATCAATAATTTTCATGGCATTTCTAGCTCTCACACATCATTCTAAGACATTATCATCTAATACAAATTTTCCAATTGAGCTCTCTAACAACACAAATCATCAAATTCCCCCTTAGGGTTCATGAATTCAATCCAAGGATTAAACCGTTAAAATGATGAAGAAACTTACTCAAAAGCTTGGCACAAGACTCCTCCAAGCTATCCTAAACCATTGGAGCTCCAAACAACTCCATGAACATCATTTTTCTCCAAAATTTCGTGGCTGTAAATGGCCCATATCTCACCAAAGAGAGAGTTTCAAGGTTAATGGATACCACCAATGTGTTTGGAAGGTTGTTTCCAACAAATTTCAACACAAACATCGCTTGATTTGGTTAAAAAATGATGGATTTAGAAGGAATTGAAATTTGAATGAAAAATGGGGTTATTTGGGGGGGGGGGGGGAGGGAGGAGCACGGTTTTAGCATAAGAAGGGGAGATGATGAATAGTGGAATGATGATGTGGTTTAAGTGGATTTTAAGTGGGGTGGGTCCCACGCCACCTCACGCGATCTAAACTCATCCGAATTTTCTTCCGATTTCACTAAACGTCCAAGGATTCACAACCTATTCAAAAACTCTAATTTTTAACATTAACAATTCTCCTTTAATTATACTAGGTCAGATGAATCCGGAGTTTTCCGGTCGTTCGGAGAAAACACTGTTTTAAGCTGTTGCGCGCGCCATTGGCACGCTTTCCCAAACTGACTTAATTCCATCAAATTTCACCAAATTCCATCAAATTTTATCAGGAATCCTATTTAGTTCTATAGACCATTTATAAATCATATTTGAAACCTAGAGCTCAAAATTCAACTGGCACGCTTTACGGTGCAATTGTACCGCAGTATTTTTACCCGCGAAAAACACTATTCACTGATTTTTTCTGAAACTTGCCTATCCACTCAATTTTTCGTTCTGAATCCGTTTCCAGGGTTATTTTCAACATCTGAGACCTTCTACTCAATTTTTTATCTTCCTAGTGTTGCGTGTTGGCTAATTACCGTTTTGCCCTTTCTTTGTATTTTGGCCTAATCTTTAGGATTTTCACTGAATCTCCACTTAATTACACACTTAATAGTTTAAACACTTAATTTAAAATTGTGAGGTGTTATAATAAAAAGGCATCAGACTCTAATTCAGAAGCTCGGCCTTAGAGCCTCCCAGGCTAGCCTAGTATATAAATATTTATTTATACTTTTTATACTACTTGTAATAACTCTCTCTCATCAATTTATTTCACCCCATTTTATTGGTTTAACAGACTTTTTGAATGATTTTGTTCTATATTATGCTATTTGGATATATATTGAATTTATGTATATTTATGGAATTACTAGTGCTGTTCTATATTATCCTTCATCCTCCTTCACACAAACAAACCCACAAAAACTCATTCGTTCCACTGTGCACTGCTCGTGTGTGTCAATTTATTTTTTATTTCATTTATTTTATTTTTATTTTTATTTTTGTTGGCATTTTTTTTATAATGGGCTAAGATAATATAACCTGTTATCTACCTTCTCTCAATTTAATTTTATTTATTTATTGTAGACTTGTAAATTATTGCTGCAAATTGGAAGCTAAGGTTTCTATCTGGAAATTGATTTTTTGTGAAATTTTGTTCTCTTATTTTTATTCTTTAACATGCTAACAAGCTAAGATAGGCTTCACACAGGCTTTTATTTTTTTGTAAATAAACCAGGCCACATGCCAATATTATATTCGTAACAGGTAACAGGCTAAGGTCAGTCGGACACGTTTAAATACAAGCTTGGCCCGTTAAGATCAAAGCTCGGCTCGGCTCGGCCCGTTGACACCCCTAAACACAATCAATATGCCTCAATTTTTGGGCTGGGGTTGAAGTAAAAGCAAAACCCAAAAATATTATCCACTCTTACTCAAAATTTTTCATAAACTCAAGAATTTTTTTTTCTTTTTATTAATATTGTTATATTTTCTTTACTTTTTTTTATATAATATCCAGCTTCTGTGATCCAAGAGTATATACTCCCACACATTGGTGGACCTATTTGGCTGTCAATATGTGCAAGTACATACATAAATTTGGTTATACATTTTTTTAGTAAAGAAGATATATATATAGGGTTAGGATCATTTTACACCGGTGTAAGTTACACTCTTAATCTTATCCACTGATCCCATTTATATCTAAGGGCTCAAATTTTTTAGTAATGTGAGCCATCGAATATAAGTAGATCAATGGTCAAGATTGAGTGTAAGACTTCTAACTCTTACACCAGTGTAAGAATATCCTGTCCCATATATATATATATATATATATATATATATATATATATATATATATTTGTATGCTGAAGAGATATATTTTTTAATTAATTAGGAATGTCACTCAAGAAGCCATTTTAGTGGTTGCATTGTTAGGAATACAAGCACAAATACTAAGAAAGAAATACATCTTATTTACTATTTATGTTTTAGTGATTTTATATCATTAAGTTGATTATTATTATTTTTATTTTAAGTCGAAATTTTCTTTTCTTTTGTTGTTAGAGGATTATATCCCTCAGATTATGTGAACGAAATTTTTTGTCATGTTAAAAAAAAAACAAGTTATATAATATTAAAAAAAGTGAGATGGTACATATTCAATGGATTAGTCTTGTCATTTTTCTTAACATGACAAAAAATATGGTTCATGTAATATAAGAGATATAAATTATTTTTTGTTTATATTCTTTTATTTTTAATACATTTAAAACTTTGTTTAATTTTTTTTTTTTCAGAAGGCACTGCCCCAAGCCCCTCCACTAAATGTTCGGATTAAATATACACACATAAAAAAAAATTCTGGATTCGTCGGTAGTAGTCGGGAAATTAAAATTTAGCATAAGTGTATGATAGCAATGTCCAATAAAGAGTTTTAGCACGAGGCATGTTAGCTTTCAGTTCTGAGTAAAATGGATTCTTTACAACACATTGCCATGCGTTTAAAAATTGCATGCTTTATTTTTATTAATTTTTAGAGAACTTTTATGTAAGAAGATGCACATGGACGACATTTAATTATTGGAACATTATTTATTAGAAACAATATACTCATCAATATAATAGGAACATCACACCTTGTCATGCTCTTTTCCTTGCACTCCAAATTCGAAGATGGAAAAGTTGGTGCTTGAGGTGGAGAACATAATCGGACATAGGTTCAAGAACAAGAAGCTTATAGAACAAGCCCTGACCCACTCCTCGTTCCCGAATGCTGTCTGCTATGAGCGCCTTGAGTTCATAGGTGATAGTGCTTTGGGCTTTTCTATGGGCAATCACTTGTTTCTCACTTATCCCAACATTGAACCTGGCCAACTCTCTCTTCTCCGTGCTGCTAATGTCAGCACGGAGAAGCTAGCTCGTTTGGCCATTCGCCATGGCTTCCACCGCTGCATCCGTCATAAAGCCCCTTATCTTTTTGACAAGGTAGATGAGTTTGTGGAAGTTGCAGGTGAAAAGGATGACTCTATTTCCTATGGTGGTTCGGTTAAAGCTCCCAAGATTCTTGCCGACATTGTTGAATCTATAGTGGGTGCTGTTTTAATCGATGTTAAATTTAAATATAAATTTTTTTGGAAGGTATGTTCTTGTTTTTATTATTTTTTAAGAAAAATATGCATTTTCTGTATTTATTAATTAATAATGATCATAATTAGTTTGTAAAGAGGGACTTCTTGTGATTAGAAGGTCATTGGAAAATAATTTCTTTGTACAACTACAAACATAAGATTGTATAATCAACACTCACCTTTATCCTCACTACAAATCCAATGGATTGATCTGTTTAACTTGCTGCAGATGATGAGCGGGTTGGTTGATATTCCCAACTAGTTTGAACCTAACCATGTAAAGATATGTCAAAATAGGTTGAACCCATAGTTGGATCGGTTAATTCGTTAGGTCAATTTTTCCTTTTTACTTAATATCAAGTAGTATTTTATTTGAAACTAATGTGATATCTAAAATCTTTATCTTAGTATTCCTCTACAAAATATAAAGAAGAAAATACTTTATTTATAATAAAGTTATCCAAATATGGAATCAAAAATAAGTTTTTAGATATCGTCAAACAATATTAGCATATATTTAGACTTAGGCAGTAGCGTAGCCACGTTGAGATCAGTAAGTGCCTTGGCTAGTTTCCAAAATCAGAAGTTTTTTATGTTTTATCTTGAGTAACGATCAATGATTTTCTTCCTTCATAATTGCTGACTTTTGGCACTAGCTTTCTCCATAGTTAAATCTTTCAATATCTTATTGTACTATGTTCAACTCTATGTATTTCTCTATTTGTAGAGTACATTGAATGTACAGAAATGGCTATAACAGAGTTTATGTTATTTGTATTAACAGCTACTCTAGGAGGAATGTTTTTATGCGGCGCTAACGATTTAATAACTATCTTTGTAGCTCAAGAATGTTTCAGTTTATGCTCCTATCTACTATCTGGATATACCAAAAAAGATGTGCGGTCTAAGGAGGCTACTACAAAATATTTACTTAGGATCCAAACAAGAAAAAACACTTGTCATTCGTTATTCGTTAGTTATTAGGGGCATCCCAAAAACGTCCAGGCTGATTTTTTGCACTGACTCTGCCACTGGATTTAGGATTGAAAAAATTAATGACAATGTTAAATTGAATTAAATAGCATTATAAAGTTTATAAAACAATATTTATTTTTAAAAATTTAATTTTTAGACGGATTGATCCATCAACACATCATAAAATGAGATTGATTTATATTTTCAATCTATTTTTAAAAGACCAGTCAATCCATCCCATCCCATTTCCAACCCTCTCTCTCTGGGGATTTGGCCTTTTATCAATTATCATGATTTGTATGTGTGTAATGTGTCTGAGGAACAATTTATTGTTGGCAGATAATTAAACGTCTTATGGAGCCCATAGCGACGCTAGATGATCTGGAGCAACAACCTCAACCAGTGACAATGCTCTTCGACTTGTGCCAAAAGAAAGGGAAACTGATAGACATCAAGCACCGAAGGAAGGGTGAAAAAAGCATTGCTAGAGTCTTCGTTGATGGAGAATTTGTTGCATCCGCTTCCTCTGAGCAGAGGGACATTGCAAGGCTTGACGCTGCCAAGATTGCCTTGCATAAACTAGCAAATATAATGCCTATTGGAACTAAGATTCTCGATTTTTTTGCTTGCATTGATAGTACCTTTGAGATTAAACAAGCCAAACAAAAGTTACACGAGCTTTGTGCAATAAAAAGATGGCCTAACCCAGTATACAGGTAACCACTACTAGCCAGAAATCTACTGCTATTATTTTGGAATGACATATTGAAAGAATAACATTCATTTACTGTACTGATTTATTTATATAAAAGTACATTGTCTCAGTCTTATGCTTTTCTCTGGTAGCGAAATTTGAAAGTATAATTTGGGGGGTGGGTGTGTCAAAAATAGAAATTATATATAGATGGGGTATTATATGTCATTAAGGGTATACATTATTCTTTTGTTTTCGTTTACTTATATCTTTACTAATAATCAAGAGATCACCTCATAGTTCTCAACTTATGTATTTTGTATACCAAGCAGTGTCCCAAGTCCTAACGGGCCCATCTAATTCGATTTTGAAATTGAGTTTCTTCACTTTCCTTAATAGTTGCAATTCTCATAAATTGAATCCACTACTTTTAGGTAGGTTAAATCTTGGGTCTAGGTGGATCTCCACTAAATCAACAACTCTTGGGTTTAATCGGAATGCCAGTAGTTCAACAACTCTTGGATTCGACTTACATATTTTGTTCACATTTTTAGTTAAAAGGGTTTCATTTTACTCTTGTTTTACCCAATTAAAAACCAGGTTAAAATAATCTTGTCCAAATCCTTAAATTTTTTTTCTTCAATTAATGGAAAGCATGTTTGGGTGTTAGTGCCAGTCTGTGTGCAAGATCACAAGCATTCTTGTGGGCATTTATTGTGCAGATTTGGTTGATGTATTATTAGGTATTGAATTTAGTATATGCTAGTGATGCAAATTTTTTATTACTAGCTAATGAATCATCCAATTTAAATTTAATTTGTTCTCTCAGTATGTTTCATATGTCAAAGCTTTTGATACTCATTGTAAACTAACTAGTTACTCCTCTGCAATGGTTCACAGCGTTGTGAAAGATGAAGGTTCTCCTCAAGATAAGAAATATGTCTGCTCTGTTCAGATAACGACGGTAGATGGTATACTCCAAACGTTAGGGGATGAAAAATCTCGGTTGAAACTCGCAGAGAACTCTGCAGCTGCCTTGTTGCTTTGGGCCTTACAAAAATGTAATTACTATAATCCAAAATTTAAATCTTGTATATTGTATATGAATGTGAAAGACATAATTAGATAACATTGCATATTAAACACATTATATGATATGAGTTTATTATAAAGTTTTTAAAATAAAGTTCAAATATTTCCTTGGTGGTTTACTTTGCAATCACTTGTATCTAATGGTTGTTTGTTTGTTTTTTTTTTGTTTTTTTTTTTGAGTAAAGTCTCCTTTGGTAAAAAAACACTGTACTCAGTTACTCACTCTCGTCTCTTACAAACAAAAATTAACTTTTGATCTTTCTACAATTTCAGATCTTTGAAAATGTGATCTTTTAAAAATTTAATGAAAATCCAATTTAGTTTTTAAAAAATGACTAATATGAGTATTTTTTTCGCAAGGGACACAAGAGAAGACGGTATTTTTTTAATTTTTTTTAAGGACCGGGGTTTTGTGTGTGTGTGGGTCAAAGTTCACCTTAGGATCGTGGAAAATTACATAAATTATCCATTTTATTCCTCATGTGATTTTTATTTTTTATTGTTGTTATAGCTCTGAATTCCAAGATGAAATGTTCCGACAACTCTGATTATCATCAGAATCTTCAGGTGCGTCACCTTTTGCTCTGGATATCTGGGATGTTGCTATTATGATTTCCTTAGCGACAATAACACAACTTAGAACTATTACTAAATTTGGTCTGGGGGTGTGTTTGTGTGGCAGGTTGATATAGATGTGAAGGGTGTGATTGAGTCACTGAAAACCAAGGTTAAAGAAAATGGAGAATCAGTGGAGCCAAGTGGGGTTGCAGATGGTATACGTGAAGGTTGTGATGGCAAGGCAGAGCACAAAGAAAGAAAGCACAAAGCAAAGAGAGAGAAAGATGATTCTCGAGAAGAATTGCCTGAAATGGGTGATGGAAAAAAGGCCAAGAAAGCCATTGTATGAAGGAAATGATTGTCAATAAAGTCCTCTCAATGTTAAAAAATTGAACGATAAGCTGGTTGGATTAGGGTATGGTAGTCTCTTTAATATTCTGATTGGTTGAGTAATCGGTGTTGAAAGAATGGAAGTGCTCCACAAGGACTATTAGTTTCTTTTTTATTTTATTTTTTCCCAAAGTTTATAATGTGTTTTAGTATCATGGATAGTTTGAGCTTTTATCCAAGCTCTCCCATTAGCATTTATATTTGATGGGCTTGTTTGAAATCCGTTTGTAACCTATAAAAATCATGTATATCACTGCAGTCTGCAGACATGATTTTAAAATACAAACTTTTTTTTTAAACTATAAACTAAGGGAAAAGTGTATATACTTTTAAATTACACAACTTACATCCTTTCACTCTCACAAAGAGGTGGGACCCACACATTTATTTTTTTTGGTCAACTCTCTCTCCTCCTTTATTTATCTCTTTCTCTCTCTTAAAATGACACAACTTTACATCCTTTAAAATTATACACACTTTTCCCATAAACTAATTGTTAAAATTAAATCAATGGCTTTTACTTATAAAGGAGGCAAGACCCTATTGCTATGCATTTGATTAAGCCTTGTCATAGGGCTCATTGTATAATAACTCACACAAGTAAGTTGAATAATGAGGAATTAACCATGGAATTAAGTATGATTTAGTGAGGTAAATGAGGTTATTAGGAATAAAAGTCTAATGTATGTAAATAAAGTCATTTAGGATCAAAAAGGAATTATAAAAATATATGGGTCAAAATGTAAATATGATAAAGTTTAGGGACCAAATTGTAATTATATAAAAATTAGCCTATATTCAATTATGATATCCTAATATGATTATTTAGAGAATTTAGTGATGTGGAAAGGATATTATTTAAGTTGGATAAGTTAAGAAATCAAGCTAAAAAAAGAAATAGAAGGAATACTTATCAATTTTAGAAAAATTGAGTGTCAAAGTCAGCATTTTAAGTAAAGTGACTTAATATTCGTTTGAAATCCATTTTCACTTATTTTTCTCCCTCCCCTAGGGCTGGAAAACCCAACCGCCATGGAAGAATGCTCAAGTTTTTTTCTCTTCATTTTCTAGCCATTTAATCACCAAATACTTGTCATGAAAATTGAAGCTTAGTGTCTTAGGAGTAAAACCCTAATCTCTATTCTCCTTGGGAAACCTTGGTTCAAGAGATCTCTCCATTTTCCCATTCCGACTATTGTTCATCAAGAGACAAAATTGAGATTGTGTTGGTTGATTTAAAGCTTGAAGATAGGTCTTTTGGTGGTGTAGGACTTGTTTAAGGTAAGAAATTACTATAACACCATGTTCATGAACCGATTTGTTATCATACTTTATGGCATTAAGCACAACACAAAAATTAAATAAACGGAAGCTACATATGAAAGAAAATGACCTTGAAGGCCGTAGACATGTGAGAATGAAAATAAAATTTTTCAAGAGCGGAAACACACATGCAAATAAAGATACGTACTTTAGGACGTGATGATACCTTTGTTCGTGATTCAAAACTCCAAGATGATCAGTGTTAGGTTTGAAGGTTCAAACCCTCTAACGTTGATCCACGCCACCTTACGTCAAGATGCAAGAACCCTTCTTGAAAAGCCACCAAACGAACACCACAAGGAAGGCACTTTAGGCGTCCCACTATGAGAAGAAGGAGGCAAGGTTAATGTGTTTAGATGAGTGAATTTTCAGCATGAAAAAACACAAAGGTGGCGCATGGAACACTATGAGAAAAGGCTAGGTAATTTTCAAAAAACCCTAAGGGGGTGTTTGTTTCAAGTTTTTGAAGAGGATTACCGGTAATCCTTCTTTGGTAAATGTAATTATCACGTTTGGTAGAAGGAATAAATTACGATTCCCGGATATCCAAGGATTACCGGTAATTTGATTTATAAAGAAAAGTCACTATTCAGATTACCAAAAATAATATGGTAATTCGGAATACCAATCAGAATACCAAGTAAAGGGAAAGCACAACAATAAATTTTGAGACAAAAATACACCAATACACATAAAAATCTAGACCCAATCTATCAATTACAAAAGTAAAAATAGTTTGGGGTTATTTTTGTAAAATAACTTCATATTCCAAGTCATATTTCGTTCTAAACCAAATATGGAATCAGTAATTTTTACCCAATATTCCCGGTAATATTTTGGCGAATCAAACACTTCTTTCGTAAGATTCCAAGTAAACTCAATTTCTATTGTATTCCCTTTAATCATGATTCCCGGTCACCAAAAAAATTTTCTTGTACCAAACACACCCTAAAGAGAACCTCACAAAAGGAAGCACACTTGGAGATGAGAGAATGATTGATTTAAATCAGATTTTCCCCCCAAAAATCTGACCGATGTAGCGCCCAATGGTGGAGGAATAAGTGGAGTTGTTGCAAATCAAATCTAGCCAACAACCTCCTATCATATCCTCATGAGATCAAGCCCATATCTGGTCAAAAATCTGACTTAATAACCATCATATGGCCAGCCATATGGTGCGCCCTTATTCAGCCCAAAAACAGTCCAAATACATTGAGTAGTTGCAATTCAAATTGAACTAACTCACTCACTTATTCTCTCAACAAACCAAATCTGATTTGGAGCTTATTTGATTGACTAAATGACACTCATAACAACCCAAATCAGCGCCCCAAACAACCTTTGATAATGCCCAAAGATCTCCTCTTGATACTTGGGATTTATTCCAACAAGATCTTATCTTATCCTTTTGTTATGAAACAACTTTTCATAGTCAATTGAAATTCGAATTCAAACATTTAAATTCAAACGTTCAAACATTTAAATTCAAAATTCAAATTCAAAATTTAAATTCTAAATTTAAATATTTGATAATTAATTTAACTAATTAAATTAATTCATAATGTCTTGGACCATCCAAGCCCATTACATGTACCATATGCGCTCTTTCCCTCTTAGGTGGGCCTCCAAACTTCTTCTTGGGCTAACAACCTTTATTAGGCCAAATACCTTTAATGCTATATTCATCAAGACAATAAGGTGTTAGTGTGTGACCATTAGGCCCAACATAGCCACTGACATAAATGGGCTTGGGCCCAACAAGCCCACAACCTATTTAATGACAACAGAGAGCACTAGCAATGCTTTGTTGCCCCAGAGCTAGTTAGGTTAATGACATGATCATCCTATTACATATATTTGGTTACCGTATGTATTTCCTTTCATCAAGGTTACCTTCCCATTAAACCTAGGGTGAGGATACGTATCAACCCTTGCGGTTTAGGGTAAGCTTTAATTCAAAATAGGGAATCTTCAATTTACTGACTCTAAAGGCAGATCATCTCATGATCTCTTTTGCTATGCTTAGATTCCCGAGTCCTGTAAATGTCATCCCGATTTCTCCGGTTTACAGATAACCTAATCCCTTACAGAGATTTGACGAATTCCTTTAGCTTATCACCCTAGGCCTGTGCTCTTTCAGGACATGCCCAAAAGTATACCTATGAGTCTCCATGTTTTAGGCAGACGAAGTATACAATCAAAACATGCCTTCTAGAACACAGTCTAGGTAAAAACTTCTGGTCTAAGGAAAGACATACCCAAATATTAAGAGACTGCTCTAATGATACTATTTGTAAAATTTCCTCATAGAATCTCTTTGTGGGTCTGTTCAGTGCGAGCTATACCCTTATAGGTCCACCCACGACTTTAGCTAAGACATCTCTATATCTGTATCTCATGAGGTCTTTACCTTGTATCTTATAACACCTCACAATTTTAAATTAAGTATTTAAGCCATTAAGTGTGTAATCAAGTGATGGATTAGTGAAAATCCTAAAGATTAGGCCAAAATACAAAGAAAGGGCAAAACGGTACTTAGCCAACACGCAACCCTGGGAAGATAAAAATTGAGTAGAAGGTCTCAGATGGTAAAAATAACCCTGGAAATGGGTTCAGAACGAAAAATTGAGTGGATAGGCAAGTTTCAAAAAAATCAGTGAATAGTGTTTTTCGCGGGTAAAAATATCGCGTTACGATTGCACCGTAAAACGTGCCAGTTGAATTTGAGCTCTAGGTTTCAAATATGAGTTACAAATGGTCTATTGAGTTAGGAAATATAATTGTTGATAAAATTTGATGAAAGTAAGTCATTTTGGGGAAGCGTGCCAACGGCGCGCGCAGTAGCTTAAAACAGTGTTTTCTCCGAACGATCGGAAAACTCCGAACTCACCTAATTAAGTATAATTAAAGGAGAATGGTTAATCTTAAAAATTAGAGTTTCTAAATAGGTTGTGAATTTACAGGCATTTAGTGGAATCGTAGAGAAATCCGGATGAGTTTTAAGTCGCGTGAGGTGGCGTGGGACCCACCCCACTTAAAATCCACTTAATCCACCTCATCACCACTATTCATCATCACATTCTCTCCTCTCCTTTCAGTCAAAACCCGCAGCCCCTTCACCAACAACACCATTTTTGCTTCAAATTTTCATTTCATCATAACTTTGTCATTTTAGCACCAAATCAAGCGATTTTTGTGTTGAAATTTGTTGGAAACAACCTTCCAAACACATTGGTGGTATCCATTCACCTTGAAACCCTCTCATTGGTGAGTTATTGGGCAAAATCAGCAGCGAAAATTTGGGGGAAAAATGGAGTTTCATGGAGTCATTTGAGCTTCCATTGCTTGGAGGAGTCTTGGGTTAGCTTCTAGCCTTTGTTGTGAGTATGTTTCCATCCCATTTACATGGCTTAACTGTGATTGAATTTTTGGAAACCTAAAGCTTGAATTTGATGATTTGTGTTATTAGAGAGCTCAATTGGAAAATGTGTATTAGATGATAATGTCTTAGAATGATGTGTGAGAGCTAGAAATGCCGTGAAAATTATTGACGAAAATTATGAAAATTTAACTTAGAAATTTTGAGGAATGTCATGACTTTGTGTTTTGGAATTTTGTTGGGAATTAATTAATGAG